GCGGCGAGCGCCGAGCACCCGCAGATTTCTTCCCGATCACAGCCCGATCTGGCGGCGAGCTCGTTAACTTCCAAATCGGGCTCAAATCAGGCTTAAAATCCTCTAGTGTGAACTAGGCATTAGTAATATTTATTAGGTTTATACAGTTCTTTGTACCACAATGTCGGGACAAATCAACACATCGCTGCTAGATGGCTCCACTAACTCGGTTTAGTGCTCCTGTGTCCACAGAATATACATTTTCCTGCAATTTAGTGACTCTTTATTCCACGTGATAAACAAACTACTTGTCAGTCAACAATTCAAACAGTTTAAGCTATTAAAACGTTTAAAGGCCTTAAAATATTAAGTTCAGCTGAATTGAGTAGTCTAATATTATGGAAGCCCATACCCGCCACTGAATAAAAAAATAAAAAATAAATACAATGTAAAAAAATTTATGAAGTCAGAATTCTGAGTTAAGTCAAAACTGCAAGTTATAAAGACAGAATTGCAAGTTATTAAGTCAGAATTCTGAGTAATAGTCAGAATCGCGAGTTGTAAAGTCAGAATTCAGAGTAAAGTCAGAATTGTGAGTTATTAAGTCAGAATTCAGAGTAAAGTCAGAATTGTGAGTTGTAAAGTCAGAATCGTGAGTTATAAAGTCAGAATTCCGAGTTATATATTCATGATTCTAATTATTAAGTCAGAATTGCGATGTATTAAGTCAGAATTCTGAGAAAAGTCCGAATTGCAAGTTATAAAGTCAGAATACCCAGTAATAGTCAGAATTGTGAGTTAAGTCAGAATTCCGAGTTGTAAAGTTAGAATCGCGAGTTATAAAATCAGAATTCCGAGTTACAAATTTGCAATTCTAATTATTAAGTCAGAAATGCGATGTATTAAGTCCGAATTCATAGTTAAGTCAGAATTGCAAGTTATAAAGTCTGAATTATGAGTTATTAAGTCAGAATGCAGAGAAAAGTCAGAATTGCTAGTTATAAAGTCAGAATTCCAAGTAATAGTCAGAATCGCGAGTTATAAAGTCTTAATTATGAGTTATAAAGTCTGAATCAGGAATTATAAAGTTAGAATTGTGAGTTATAAAGTCAGAATTTCGAGTAATAGTCAGAATTGTGAATTATAAAGTCAGAATTGTGAATTATAAAGTCAGAATCAGGAATTATAAAGTCAGAATTGTGAGTTATTAAGTCAGAATTCCGAGTTGTAAAGTCAGAATCGCAAGTTATAAAATCATAATTCTGCGTTATAAATTGGCAATTCTAATTATTAAGTCAGAATTGCAATGTATTAAGTCCAAATTCCGAGTTAAGTCAGAATTGCAAGTTATGAAGTCCGAATTATGAGTTATTAAGTCAGAATTCAGAGAAAAGTCAGAATTGCAATTTATAAAGTCAGAATTCCGAGTAATAGTCAGAATTGTGAGTTATAAAGCCAGAATTGTGAGTAATAAAGTCTTAATTGTGAATTATAAAGTCAGAATTCCGAGTAATAGTCAGAATCGCGAGTTATAAATTCTTAATTATGAGTTATAAAGTCAGAATAAGGAGTTATAAAGTTAGAATTGTGAGTTATTAAGTCAGAATTCAGAATAAAGTCAGAATTCCAAGTCGTAAAGTCAGCATTGTAAGTTAAAAAGTCACAATTGTGAATTATAAAGTCAGAATTGCGAGTTTTAAGTCAGAATTGTGAATTATAAAGTCAGAATTGCGAGTTTTAAGTCAGAATTGTGAATTATAAAGTCAGAATTGTGAATTATAAAGTCAGAATTGTGAGTTGTAAAGTCAGAATTGTGAGTTATAAAGTAAGAATTGCGAGGTATTCATATCCAAAACACAGACAAGGAAACTCTCGAGTGCTTTCAGAGAAAGAAAATCTTGAAAGAAAAGCTGTAGAATGGCCTAGCCAATCACCTGACATGAATCAAATAGAGAATACAAAATAAAGCTCAGATTTGACAGACGAGACCCAAAGACCCATCAAGATTTTGGCACTCTGTTGAAGTCTGTGAAAAACTCAAACCTGAGCAACGCATGTGACTTTATTCTCCATATGAAAGGCTTCACCAATAAAGACTTTTATAAAAAGTATTAAGTAGATCAGTACTTTCTCTCTTTGTGCCATTTCAATTATGGCACAAATGTTATTACACAGAACTCATTTTGCAGATTAGTTTTGATTTGTTTTATTTTAACGTTTGTATTGTTTGTTTAAAATCTGCTTCAATTCCACTTCAACAGTTCCTCAGAAATATTATTTCCAGAAAAACATGACGTGTTCAATACTTATTTTCCCCGCAATTAAACAATTAGTAATTGTTTATACCATCATAGTTTATAGTATTTAGTCTAATACAGCGACACTTTTTCATGTAATTAAGATCTGAAGAACTGGAAGTGGCGGACTATGGCATAATAAAAGATCTGCTACTTTCAGATAAAAAAAAAAAAGACCACTACTCCTGTGATTCCACACTCAGCCATTGTTTGTTGTGAATTTGCGCCCTCTAGTGGCGAACATTACATTTCCAACATTTGAAAAAATAAATAAATGCATGTCCTATTCCTTTTAGATACATTCAATTGTGTACCAAAGATGAAGGAAAGTCTTAGGTGTGTGAAACAACATGACAATGAGTAATTAATGACCGAAATTTAACTACTGTATCTCCTAAAATCAAAATCATTTTTTTATGCAGTGGCATCTTGGTGGTTTTTTAGGTGTCATCAAAATGGTTGAGTCAGATCTTTCATGAATTTCTCAGCAATATAATTATAAGGTCTTCAAAGAGAGAGCACTGTTTACAAGCTGAGAAACTCATAATTAGTGCAATTGTGAAATGAGAGGTGCAGTAATGAGTTTGAGTGGGCGTTTTCTGCTTTCTGAGTTCAGGACTGGACTCATCATGCTGTCAGTGTGTGAGGATCATCTTTACAAGGTTCAGTGCATTAAATAAGAAAACCGAATGAAATCTTCACAAAGACACTTAAAGCAATACACATCTGCATAAACTGAGTCTCAAATCAGGAACTGTCATATTAAAAAACCTAAAGTCTTCAAGTTTATTTCTGGAAACGGAAAAAACAAACCGCCATTTAACCAGCACTTGGTTATTATATACATTTCTCTTGTTTCCTTTAGGGGTTTTGGAACACTCAGTGAAAAGAATATTAGATTTAAATGAGGACATAAAAGACTAGACAAAAGAAAGAAAGAAAGAAAGAAAGAAAGAAAAAACAAAGAAATTGATTAAAGGAAGAAAGAAAGAAAAGGAATGAAGGGTGGTAGAAAATGAAAGGAAGCAAAGGAATAAAGGAAGAAAGGAAAATATTTAAGGGAGGAATGAAGGAAAAGAATGAAGGATTTAAGAAAAAGAAAAAAGGAAATGAAAGGAAAGAAGGATGGAAGGAAAGGATTGGAGGAAGGAAGGAAGGAAGGAAGAGAATGAAGGAATGAAGAAGGAGGTAAGGAAGGAAAAGAAAGAGGGCGGAAAAGAAAAGAATGAATAAGGAATGGAATGAAGAAAGCAAATGAATGGAAGGAAGGGAATGAAGGAATGAAAAGAAAACGAAAGGAAGAAAAGGAAGGGAGCAAAAGAATGAAGGGAAGGAAAGAAGGAAGGAAAGAAGGAAGAAGGAAAGAAATAAAAGGAGAAAAATGAAAGGAAGGAAAGAAAGGAAGAAAGAAAAATATGTGAATTAAGGAAAGAAAGGAAGAAAAACGTATGAAGGAAATAAAGGATTACAGCAAGGAAGAACAAAAGGAAGCAAAAGAATGAAGGAAGGAAAGAATTGAGTGAACAGAAGGAAGGAAAGAAAAGGAGGAAGGAAATGTATGAAGGAAGAAAAAAGGAAGGCAGGAAGGAAACAAATGAAGGAAGGTAAGGAATGAAGGAAGGAAGAAAAGAATGGAGTGAATAGAAGGAATGAAAGAAAGGGAGGAAGGAAATGAATGAAGGAAGGAAAAAGTAAGGAAGGAAGGAAGGAAGGAAGGAAGGAAGGAAGGAAGAAAGAAAGGAAGGAAGAAAATAAGGAAATAAAGAAAGGGAGGGGAAAAAGAAAGGAAGGCAATTAAAGAAAGGAAGGAATGAAGGAAAGAAAGGAGCAAGGAATGAAAGAGGAAGGAAGGATTGAGGGAAGGAAAGAAAGAAAGAATGAAAGAAAGGAATAAAGAAATGTAAGGAAGGAAGGAAAGAAGGAAGGTAACAAAGGAAGAAAGGAATGAAATTAATGCAGGAAGGAAAGGAATAAAGGAAGGGAGGAAGGAAGTATAAAAGGAAGAAAGGAAAGGAATGAAAGCAGAAAAGGAAAAGAAGGAATGAAGGAGGAAAGGAAAGGAAAGAAGGAAAAAAGGAGGGACGGAAAAGAATGAAGGAAGGAAAGTAAGAAGGAAATGAATGAAGGAAGGAATGGAAAGGAAGGAAAGGAAAGGAATGAATGAAAGTAACTATTGACGGAAAGAAGGAATGGAGTGAAGGAAGGAAAGAAAGAGAGGAAGGAAAGGAATGAGGGAAGAAAAAAATAAGAAATAAAGGAAGAAAGGAAAGAAGGGAGGCACAGAAAGAAGGAAGGAATGAAATAAAGGAAGGAAAGAAAGGAATGAATAAAAGGGATGAAGAAAGGTAAGGAAGTAAGGAAAGGCATTAAGGAAGGAGGCAAAGAAGGAAACAAAAGAAATGAAGGAAGAAAAGTAAGGAAGGGAAGGATAGAAGAAAAAGGGAAAGAAAATGTAGGAATGAAGGAAGGAAAGGAAGGAACACATGCTCTATGAGCTTATTTTGACATTAAATTGAAACATTAATAATAAGTCTGCTCTCATATGGCAATGCTCTACACTGCTAATGATAGATACACATGCACTTACAGCACATGACCATCGCAATCATGAACATTCTACAACAACTATGGTCTTGTGTTAAAAGAAACACACTCAAAAAAAGAAGAGAGCAGCAGGATCATTCCTGTATAGTGGAGCTCAGTGTGTTGAGAGTGTTTGTGTACCTTTGCAGGTCTTGCGGTCGGGCTGTAAAGTGAATCCCACCGGGCAGCTGCAGCGAACACCAGTCACAGCATCATGACACGTGCTGTCACAACCACCGTTATTCACTGCACACGTCTCTGAAAACACACATGCACACAGAGGTCAGTACAGAACACACTCATGAAGATCCAGACTCTGGACTTAAAAGGTTAAAGCTCAGCATTCGGCATCAGCATCTGCTCATACATAATCCACAATTCTCTATCCAATAGAACTCACAATAGGGAAGACACATGTTGGATTTTGGTTTTCTTCAAGCAGGATGGGTCCATAGTATTGTGAAAAAGAGATATTGAACTGTGTTGGACTGGAAAGAATCATTTATATCGATAATGGCAAGCAGAATTTAAAAAGAAATCCATCAGAAATCAAACACAATAATGATCATGACATCAATAAGTGAAAGTTCTCAATTGAGATGTCGTTCTGTGTCTCAACATGTTCAGCAACTGCATGAGTCTTATAAAATTTCTGAACCAAGCTGTGAGTGCATCTACATCTACAGTATTCTCCTTACATGATTCTGTGAGCCACTGAAGCGTTTTTACTCTGAATACTTCAATTCAAGTCTGCTTCTATAGCGCTTTCACAATGATTATTGTTCCAAAGCTGCTTTACAGAAGGTGCACATTATTACATTAGTCAAGATCAGAAACGTTAGGGTGTTGTGTATAGGGTGACCGTATAAAAACATAACCATACAGAGAGAGAGAGAGAGAGAGAGAGATAGAAAGAGAGAGAAAAATGGAGTTAAAAATTAAAAAGTGTCATCATCTACTGCCAGGGCCGGCGCCTCCATAGAGGCGACCTAGGGCGGCAGAATAGAGAGGGCGGCTATTTTAAGAAAGAAAAAATACAGTCTGCGCCCTGGTGCATGGTCTAACAGGCTTGTGCTTATTCTCTTAATGAGTTATGGGTGCGTTTTAAGCATAACATGCATTAAACCAATCAGAGTATCATCTCAGATTCCCTTTAAGAGTCAGTTGCGTTGTGCCATGGTGTATTTGCTATTTACCTGACAGACTTTGTAATTGGAAAAACTGAACACTTAGTGAGAGAACAGTTAAACAGAGCATCTGCAGCACAAGTATAAAGAACGAGCCTCCTCCATTCAGCCTCTTTACTTTCTCTTTACTTTTACTCCTTTACTTTTGTGGAGTAAGGAAACGGTGTTGTACACTCCACTGAAGACATCCATTAGCCTACATATTTAATTTAGTTTGTTAAGTGCAAAGATTTGCCTCAAAACTATTTCTAAAGTCAGTTCTAATTTCCAGCAAACTAATAAATGAAAAATAATAATGAAGTGTGGTCAAAAAACTGAGTCATATCCAAACACACGTCCTGTTCTTATGCCCTATATAATGATGCAGACGTCTCCAAAACCTGACAGGTGGACAAATCTAAACATGTTTTTTATTAAAAAAACATATATACACACATATATTAAACAATACTGCTAATAATATTATACAAAAGCAAGTTGTTATGAATAAACTGAAAGAGATGGAGGCATGGAGGCAGTGGCTTTTATATTTATGTAGAAAATACACACCCTGTGTGTATTAAGCAATGTGTAAGCGTTTGAACCTGCACAGGCGCGCAACTAACCTGCTCTGAGCTGGACTTTAGAGCAGCTTTTAGATGATCAATGGCGCGGTCTATCATAGTTCCTCAAAATAGCAACGTGCCAACAATGCGCCTTAACACACCTCCTTTTCAGACCAGCACACCCATGAGTCCACAAAGTGGCGCAAATGGATTTGCTATCTAAACAACGTGACGCAAAATGTGAAAATCAGGATGCATTCACACTAGCACTTTTGGTCCGCACCCGGGTTCGTTTGACGTCAGAGTATGGTAAGTTTAGCTAGCGTGAACGTGTCTTCTGAACTCGGGTGCACATTCGTGAACCGTACCCAACTAAAAGAGGTGGTCTGGGGTACGGTTCACTTCTAGTATGAATACAATCGTACCAAATAATGGAAGTGAACCGTCAACTGTACAAGAAACTATTGTTTTCATAACGTTCATTTGTGTGTGTGACAAACGGGACTGAGCCAGGGCAAACACAGTGATAATAGCCCCTTTCACACATACAGAAGTTTCCGAAAAATTACCGAACGGTCTGTATGTGTGAACAGGCCCTAATTGAAAATATCGGTAAATTCTTTCCGGCTATTTTCCGGAAAGAGAAGTTATAAGATTACCAGTAATTTGCTGGAATGCTGCACTGTGTGAACGCAGAAGGAAGATTGCCGGAAAGAGCGCGTTCACGTCTAGAACGTGCTGACATGAGACGTCTACTTTAGCCAATCATATATGCTCCTTCTTAATGCCAACTGTGTAAATAATTATCGATAAGATGCTTATGATAAGCCGCTAATTGTTTACCTTCAAGCTCCGCTTCCTTCAGTTGCTTGACACGTCGCGCGTGCCCGTGAAGTAGCCCATGAGCGCCAGCACACACACGCATATTATGTACATTTAGACATGCGAAAGTGTTCCTCTATGTTTTCATCAAAGCTGTTCACAATCCTGATCCATCCACAGAGTTTGTGATGTAGTCAAATGTTTACAGTGCAGCCGTTTAGAGCTCATCTCTGGTTAATGATGTCAGAATTTACCGCTATTTTGGAATCGATGTGTGAACGGACTTTTCCAGAAAAATTCCGTAAAACCCTCTCCTGTGTGAACAAAGCTTTTTTGAATTTACCAGTTAAGTCGTTCCGGAAATATTTCGGATATTTACCGGTATTACTGTGTGAAAGGGGCTAATGTCTGCTTGTCTCCTCCAAAAACAGCTTCTGCAGACATCGCGTGATGTTCTGAATGTTTATAATATTTTTGCGGCAGATGGACGGGAGTCACTCTCTGTCTGTCCAAAACCAAAAGATTAAGTAAAACAGTACGACCTCGATGTGCGGACGTATTTCCATTTTGGCGCTTTGCTTTCATGTCCGTCATCTAGCAACAGATGTACACAAAACAGCAGCTCAATGATGCAAGCGTACCAGTTCAGAAGGAAAAAAGACAGTGTTAACACAAACCAACCGACAAGGTGGCAAGGGGGAACAATTGAACTCGGGTTCAGTCCAGGCGATTGAACCAAGTGTGAAAGCACCCTTAGGAGTTGCGCTGGTCTGAAAATAGCAACAAATCGCACCTCTTGCGCCTTTTTGCGCCGGCAGTATGATAGGGCCCCTAGTAGTGACACATTTAGAAGATATAAACTAAACCTATAGTTTGTCACGTCTACTTAATTTGTTTTCGACATCACCTCACTTCCGTTTCTCATCAAATCTTCTGACCAATCAAATGCTCTTTAGTATTTATATATTCTGTTGAACACAAAACAAGATATTCTTAAGAATGGGGAAACACAGCCATTGAGTACAAACTAAAATGGATGTCAACAGCTGTTTTTATTTTTCCACAACATTCTTCAAAATATCTTCTTTTGTTTTCAGCAGAAGAAAGAAATTCAAACAGGTTTGGAAAGATGAGGAAAAGATTTTTGAGTGAACTATACATTTAATAGCAAAACGGTCCAGAATTACACACAGACTCACAGCTCTCCTTCAAACCTGATGAAACTCCTTCATTATCTCATAACCAGAAGGCTGACTGTAGATGTCAAATCAGCTCAAAGCAAAACTCAGGCAGAAAGAGCTGAAACCTGAGATTGCACCTGATTCAGCTCTATTTAATCATCTCATGTTTCCCCCAGAGTACCGTCAGCTCACCTGAAAACTAAAACTTCCATCAAAACATACAGATATTAAAGAGTATTTAAAGACTATTTAGCATGTGCTTATTGTAAATGTCTTTTTACTTGTATTTGACCAAAGTCTTCTTATTTAAACATCCAAACATTCTCAAACTGAATGTAAAAATGAATTTTGGTGAAGTAAAAACAACCTGAAATAGTTACAGGTAGGCATGGGCCGGTATAAGATTCTGCCGGTATGATATCCTTGGATATAAATATGACGGTTTTATGGTATTGTGCTCACTGCTCTAAAATATATTAATAAAATATATTCTTTTTTAACTGTCTGGGTAAAAAAACTAAAACTTTTTTTCCCTTTTGAACACAATATATTTATTTAAAAAATATTTTGTAGCAGTAAACATGTCAGGATAAATCATTCAGATTAATTATTGACTTCTGCTGTCTTTATTTGTTTAAAAAACACAGATTTCTTTACAATTTAAAAGAGCATTTTTGGAGATCTTTTCTGATAGAGATACTGTTGTACTAAAAAAAAAAATGTAAATAAAAAATCTTACTCATACCTTAGGAAAATTTTGGTGGTTTTAAAACTTTGACATTTCCAAACCGTGGTATACCTTAAAAACGGTTATCGTCCCATGTCTAGTTACAGGTTTAAATTAAAACAGTATTTATTGTATGACTGTGTCCAGACAGAATTTGCGTATATTTTTTGCTATTTATGCGGAATGATTTTGGGAGCATAGGAAACAAAAATAAATTAAAAAAAAAAAAAAAAAAATATATATATATATATATATATATATATATATATATATATATATATATATATATATATTGTGTTTAGTAAACAAAGCAAGATATCTATGATATCTGATTAAAGAAAGAAAATATTACTTCACAGACTGTAATGTAAACAAATTGTATGAACATTGTCATACTATTTATTAATATTACTGAAATGAATATAAAAAAGGCAGCACAGTGGCGCAGTGGTTAGCACTGTCACCTCACAGCATGAGTTTGCATGTTCTCCTCATGTTGGCAGGGGTTTCCTCCGCGTGCTCCGGTTTCCCCCACAATCCAAAGACATGTGGTACAGGTGAATTGGGTAAACTAAAATTGGCCGGAGTGTATGTGTGTGAATGACTGTGTATGGGTGTTTCCCAGTGCTGGGTTGTGGCTGGAAGGGCATTCACTGTGTAAAACATATGCTTGATAACTTGGCGGCACATTTCGCTGTGGCGACCCCTGATTAATAAAGGGACTAAGCTAAAAACAAAATGAATGGATAAATAATTATAAAGAATTATTTAATTCAAAGAAATAAAACGAACGAAC